CACTAGCCCCAGCCTGCTACATATTTTATAGTAAGCAAATTTAGTCTTTCAGATTAGCAAGCTATATATATATTTAGTGCTTTATTCTCAAACTGTTTCACCACAAATGACAGCTCATTTCACAAACAGCTTATCTTATGGCTAAAGATATATAAATACATACTAAAAATGCTGCTGAAAGTCTCAGAATGTATAATGCAGCCTGGTAGACATGGTAGTGATTGTAACACTGCATTGTAGACACAAATGTTAAAGAAACTTGGCAAGAAGCAACACGTTTTAGCTACTCAAAATTCAGATTTTCTCAGACTTGTCCCCTTCTGATGAATGGAACATATGGAAGTATTGTTCACAAAACTTACATTGCTTTTCTTGATGTCTACCAAAAATCCTCATCATGACAATATTTACCAAGATACATACAGATTCAAATTTGAATTAATTACCCAGAAGTTTTTCTGTGCTTCCAGGTTTGCTGGGAAAGAAAAACACTTCAGAAGCAATGTGTTGTGAGCATTTAGCAGTGGATGTTTTAGCAGCAGAGGTAGCAGAGTGCTTGCTGGGGAAGGGAGCTACCCAGTTAAAAGCCATCATTGCTGAGTGAGATAAAAGACAGGGAAGAAAGCAACTGCTTTGCCAAGAAGCAGTTTGGAATCTGACATTGTAAACAAAACACATTTAGATCTAGACATAAATCCTCCTTATGCTGAAGGCTCAATAATATTTTAGCTAGCATGGTTACTTACAAACAGTTCCTGAAATACAGCATCAAAACTGCAGAACAGCCTTTAACCTTGTGTTCATCCACTCAAGAGCCATGTTATTTATTATCCTTTATCCCTTAATTATAGGGACTTCACCTACTGCTCTCTGCTCATTTGAAATGCAGAATAAAATACAATGGATGTCTAAAGACTTAACAGGTGTCAACCAGATATTTGCCAGCTACTGCTACTATTCTACTGGGAGGAGTTGCTGTTCTATAAATACTAATTAGAGTTTTGTACATGATCTTGCTGAAATACCTAAGGTGATGAGTGGCCAGTTGTTACTTTTAAAAGATTAGCACAATTTGAAAAACTAATGTCCCCAATGAGGCAATGCTCACACTGAATAATCAAGAGTTATAGCTGTTCTCTGCCCAAAGGGAATATTTGCTCACTTCATCATTTGGAAAATCTGCTGCCTCTCGAACAATTCACTCTTCTATTTAACTTTGAGAAACTTGTAAAACTTTGTGCAATCAATAAATTGGTACAGTATATGTACTTAGATGGTCTTCCACTGCTCTGCCCACATGGCAGGCTTTTCTACTACCTTTACATCTAAAGAAAGAGCTCTTAGTGTGAAATCATGATTAAGAAACTGCAACAAAATAATGTTGTACTTAAATCAAGCAGCAGAGAAAAATAAGATTACAGTATAAAGTCCATACACACAGCAAAAATTCAATTTCCTCAAATCCATCTCCCTTCAAATTCTTCACATTCACTAAACAGGAAAAATAGACACAGGCAAATCAGGACAGGTCACTATGATACTGAGGTTTTATATTAAAAATTTATATATAGTATTTTTTTATTTTAAAATACCCTCAAATTCTCCAAAATCTTGGTGCAGTATAGCTGAAAAAACAGTTAATTTTAAGCAAAATGTTAAAGTGACATGGCTCATTTCCTTGGTTTGTAAAGAAATCTTGAGTTTTATCTTGTCCGTTCTGCTATGGAAAGCAACTGATGTCACAAGGTGTGACACAATGCTGTATTTCTATATGTGAGCTGTGCTTCAATGCAGTGCAATTTGATTCAGCTGATACAATCCCTTACTATTTAGTGTCCATGGCCATGTGTGGGCAAAACATATAGATCATTTGAATCAGAATTTTTTTCCAGGCTTTAATTTTTTTTTAAAGAAATCTTTTTTCTTTACAATGAAACCTATATTTTCCGTATCCCTCAAGGATATCCCTACTGCTTCCCCTTTTCCAGTAGCTCATTACTGGAAATGTTTGGCCTTGCTTCAAAAGAGAAGAATATGTCAACACCAGAACATCTGTGTCCACATAGAGTGCTTTGATGACAGTGATAGGCTCCATTTACATCAGTAACACTGAGCTGAACCTTGATGCTGTCTGCATTTAAAGATCTTACCCCACAGGGCAAGAGAATACAGGTCAAAAACGTTGATATCTGTTTGACACACTCTCTACTTCAAGAGCACTTGGCAGCAATTTGTTCCAGAGTCAAGAATCAAACTCACAAAGTGTTGCAAAGCTCAGAGCCATGTTTGCATAACCACATTCAAAACAAATATTAAAATTCACAGTCTCTGGAGGCCAATCTACTTTTGATATGCAGGGGTTTGTGAGCAATACAGTAAAATTCTAACCTGAATATAGGAGGAGTTTTCATTTAAATCAAAAAGCCATAACTTGGGATTGAACATCTGTTATTAAGAGGGATAATGCACCTATGTCTCTCAAATGCAAAAAGGAAAACAGGCACTTTATCACCTAAAATCAAAACTGATTCTCTAAAAAAGGGAGTGGAATAGCTATGTGGGACACAGAGCTGTGCCTATCAGTGTGGCTAGAGGAAGCTGGGTGAATTTTGGTACAGAACAAATGCCTCCACAGGCAGGCACAATAATAATTAATTCCCCAAATATTTCATACAGAGGAATTCAGAGATGAAGTCTGAGCTACAGAGTATTTCTAGCCCATGGCTACTGGTAATCTTCCTTTTAACAGGATTTAAAAACCTTTAGAGTTTCTTCAGCTATTTGTAGTTAAAATATAATTTTCTAATTTAATTACATTGTGTCCACTAAACTGCTATGCTGACATAAACCCTAATATGAGGTGGAGAGTTCCAATAGTTTCCTTCCACACATTCCTTCCCTCTTGTAGGGCTCAGCACTTTTGCAGCATTGAATGATCCAGTATTGCTTACAAGACTAATACATACAAAACATCAAAGAGGAGCCAATCAATGCAGCTGGATATTGCCCTGCTCGTGTTCAAGGACCACAGCCACCTGTGTACTGCAATAGCAGCTGCAAGTACTGGCAAATCCTATTTCAGCAAACAGAGAAAGAGAAAATTTTGTTTACAGGTTGCACTAGAATGCCATGGAAACAGATACAGAGGTAACTGTGAAAGGCGTAATCCAAATGGAAGACAGCCCTGACAGAGCTCATATATCCAAAAATAATATATATGTTTTCCCACTTGGCAAACACATGTATAAATCCTATTAACATCAAGACAGAAAATTATACTGAGTAGACCCCAATATCACTAAGGTCCCTGATAACAGTATGAATTAATGTGCACCTTCAAAGCAGAGCAAGATGTTTTTATATGCAGACTATTAGGAAAAAATAAAAATATCTTAATAGAATAATCATCTTTTTAAAGAAAAAAAATTACATCTTGAATTTTTGAAACAGGATTAAAGTGTGGTAGTAGCCCTGTAAAAGGAAGCTGCTCAGCACCTGCTGCCTACACTGTGCCTGGCTTCAGGCAATGTTATTCATTCCTCACTTTCATGGGAGCAAAATGCATCCTCTAAAAATATAAAACACAAAAAAAAATAGATCTCTGGGGAAATAGAAGAGAAATCTGTTTTAAAAATAGTGAAGGAGCCTGTAGTCTAAAAAAATAAGTCCATTTTGCATTGTTTTGTAAGATTTACACTTTAATTTGAAACCAAAGTAAGGCATAAAATTTGTATGAAAGCAATATCTGATTTATAGATAAACTTAAAACACAATTCACTTAGCTGCAACTACCAGACCCCAGTGAGAGAAGCAAAAGATTTTGAAAGATGATTAAAATATGCTTGATAAATGTGGCCCTGAAATGCCCCAAAAGATTTTTCTGAAGTTAAATAGTAAACACAATTAACATGGCTTTTGCTACAAAAACAGTAAATGCAATGGATTTTTTAAATTAATTTTCAATGTCATTACATGTTCCTATTGAGCTGGAATTGACTCAATCCACTAACTGTACTATGAGACAGTCTTTTTGTCCATATGACCTTATCATCTAGACAAAAAGCCAAATGTCCATTCTGTTGGTCATATGAAGAGGAAGCCACACAATAAGAACACTCTTATGACCACCATTTCCATCCTGTGAGTGGAAAATTTGTGACAGTTGAAGCATTTAAGAAAGATATATTCATAAAGCTCAGATAATGTCCAGCTTGATCAAATGTATTACTAATTAACCAATAAAAAGTAGCAGCTGGGAAGGCTGACAAGAATAACTTACCGTACACCTCTGGCCTAACCTCACTATCCATATTCAAACAAGTCTCCTGGCAAAGGCAAATCAAATAATTCTTGGGAGTCTTGCACGTATTCAGACTCACTAGATTTACATATTATTATTCACAGTGGATGTTTCATTACATTTGCTTTGAGAAAATGAACAATCTATATGGGTATTCACATGTTTAATATGCACATGAGTTCCCATTTTGTAAATTTCATGTAGCTGATGATGAGGTTGGTTGGCCTCCCTCTGCCTTAGACCAGGCACTGCTCATTCAGATGAGGTCAACTCACTTGGCAGAGCTCACATTCCTCCACCAAACTCCAGACACCCCAAAACAGGCAGAACAATTCCAAGCAGCTTTTAAAAACCAGACCAACCCAAATCCATCACCCATAATATTTGCAGGGTTTTTGTTTTAGAGATTAATGCAGGCCAAAAATGGTACACTTGCTGTCCTAAAAACTGGACAGTCACTGAAAAACAATTTGCCCCAAGCCCTAACTACTCGGTTTGCTCAAATGGACATCCCTTCAGTCATGGCACTTGAAACAAGGCACTACGAGGGGCCTCCAGAATCCACATTCACATCTGCTCCAAAGAGAACCTGTCCTCACAACACTGCTGTACAAGGCTCCCATACCCTCAGGTAAAAGTGCTCCTCAGCCATGGAGTCTTTGATACAAGACCTCATTAATTCTTTGAGAGAATAACTCACCATTTTGATCGGCTTGTGGATTTCACCATTGGAGCCATCCCATCTCTGTAGAGGCTTTTTGTTTTACTGAAGTTGACAACATTGAAAATTACTCTCTGGAGGGGAAAAAAAGGAAAAGAAAATACATCAGGTATAAATTCTGAAAGACTTTCTACATGTCTTGTCTATACCAGATGCATAAAAATATACACAGATAATATATGCAATAGATGTGTACTTTATGAATTATTGTTATTCTCCATAGATTCAGATAATGGATATCCTGTCTGTTCCAAGAATTTAAAATGTCCAAGTTGTTTCACACTGCACTGACACATATGAAATATATGTTTTTAATTTAGCACACTAATTTTTCAGTAGGAATCCTAGCCAGAGGAAAAAAAAAATAGTCCAGTGTGCTGCAGTTAACATCACAGAGGTGGATGGAAAGCTGGGAAACGGGGTAACATTCCTTGTGAAAACCTTCTAACTGCTTCACAGAACCATAGGATAGAAACATAGAATTGCTGAAGCTGGAAAAGACTTCCAAGATCAAGTCCAACCATTAATTCAGCACTGCCAAGTGCTGTCCCTGAGCACCACATCCACATCCCTCTGGATTCTCTTCCTTTTCCCTGGCAAAAGGAAGAATTTTCCTGTTAAAAAAGTGTACAGGATACCTGCACAGAAATTGCACATAGCCATCTGTTGTTTGAATATGATAGATAAGAAAAAAATATTCTAAATCTGATCTTAGTTTAAGCTAAAAGTTTGGGGAAACTGAAGATGATATTTAATAGGTCAAGGGAAGAGTAGAATGTAGATTTTTAAGGGTAATGGACTGATACTGAAAGCAAATTAATGCAGGGGAAAGACAAGAGAAAAGAGAAAACCCTTTTTCCTTACCATCTGTCTGCTTCAAGTCATTTCATACAAAATTACTTATTCTGTCTCTGTTAAGAAAGTCTAAATTGGATCTAGCTCATCTCATGGAGTACACTGACTTTTCAGATAGCAAATGCAGTATCCCTCATTTGTTGTACTCTTTTGATACCCAGTGTTGATGTACTCCAAGAAAACAAAATATGAAGTCTAAATTAGTTTTTATAAAACAGTCCGCAATATAGTGATAGATTCAATTTATATGAATCTCTTTACATTTGTTTTTTAAAGGTAGAAGTGAAGACAAACCATTAAAAATTATATTCATTCTTTTCTTTAAGAACAAACTATTGTAATTTTGGCATCCTTCATAATGATCCATGAGAAGCCTAAAAACTGATTGATCACTGTTTAAAAATCAAACAATTTTTTGACTAAAACAACAAGCTTTCATATGTAAAACTTTGCAAAAACAAATCTGGACCTTCCAGGCAGTCTGTTCAGGCAACAGGGAGTGAGAAGATTAAAGTGAAAGGAATCAGCAGTGGGACACAAAAAGGAATCAGGCACATTTATCCTTTCATAAGGGGCAGGTAGGAAGCCAGGTAACTGCATAGCCCTAAGTGGCTCTGTACTAAAGAAAAATTAAACTAGTTTTTTTGAGGTAAGGTATTGCTGAAGATTTTGTGAATGGGAGCACATACTTCTATGCTGCAAATTCTGCCAATCAGTAAAAGCAAAATCTAAAAATAACCTGTAGGTTTGACTAGAACTGACATGAAAAACTAGCAAGTTGAGAAAATCACTTTTTTGAAGGTGGTAATTCAATTTTTCACCAAAGCCAGTAGGGAAACTACATATCCCTGCACAAGAGTTTTCATATATTTTGAGATTTTCTAATGGTCATAAGATGAACTTATTTTTATAACTCTGTATAAAAGAATGCACTTAAATTTACAAAATTTTATGTTTGTAATTTTAGGTATTTAGGATATTGCTTATCAGATGAAATATCCACTTTGGGAGGTCTCTAGTTATTTTCCATCTTACGTTTTTAATGGATGGTTTTAAGTTAGAAAATTGTATTCAGGTCTCTACATGCTTTATGCTCTACATGGAAACATTTCCCTCTATTAGAATGCTCAGATTTTCCTCTGTTACTTAACTCTGTTCACATTTTTGAAAACAAATTAAGTTGCAACAAATTGGTTTGTTAATCTTGATGTTTGCATGGAGTGAATGAAACAAACAAGATCTCCAAACCAATTGCCTTAAACTTTGGATGCAATCATGTCACTGTTGGAAAGGGAAAGTTGCTAATTTTGTTACATACTGACTCAGAGCAGACAGCTGGTAGAGAATGTTCTTATTCCAATCAAGCTTATTTTGTATAATGAGTTGGGCAAATGTACACAACTGGGTAAGCAATGTATATAAAAACAAAAATATGCAGCTCATTTAACAAAACACTGCCGATTATAGCGTTTCGAGCGCTCAGCAATGCGTGCAATTCCCCCAGCATGGCACCGAGCTAGATTGGCAGAACCAAAAATTTAACAGCACAGAGCAGAACTTTATCAACACACACCACTGAAGTAATAAAGCACACAAACCAAAGCACTCAAATGAGCAGCTGAATTCCGTCAAGTATTCCTGGTGATGGTTAAAATAGTCCATGCAGCTCAGCCAGTGGAGTGTGCAAAAATGTAATGACTACAGGATACACACTGGATACACACGCTGGAAAAATATGCAGCTTGCTCAATAAGGTATGCAAACAGCTTTGAACTGAATGCTGTCATAAAAGGCTGTGATACAGCAATCAAAGTTTTGCTGAACAAATCTAATTTTTAGTCTAATTTCTGTCTATACTTATATCCTTTAACACACCAGTTACGCAGTGTAAAGAGCAAAAGGACTAGAAACAAACTGATCATGTTAAAACACCTTTTTGAAAGAAAATTATCACTATTCTGAATTATTATACGAGTTATAGAGACGTACAAGATTGTTGTCTTATAAGCAATATAATTGAGATACTCCAAAATGAGTATTCAAGAATTTAAGAAATGTCAAGTTAAGATAAAAAACTAGATTAAATGTACTTAAAATTCCCAAGAAATTGTTCTGGTCTTCACAGAATCAATACTGAGAAAAATTTTTACAATAAAAATACTTGTTGGGTATTTGGGAGTGTATGAATACCACTAAAAGAAACAATATTCAAACTGATGCTGTACCAGAAATTATAATTCTGTGCTTTCACTTCAGATTTTGGACAAAATCTTAAATCTATTGCATTATTTTGACAAACTGATCTCCAGTTTCTGGGTAGGTGGAAGAAGCATGGTGCAGAAAAGCCTCTCAGGACAGCACCGAGTCAAACCACACACCGGGATGTGTTGTGGCTTCACAGCATGAGAGAAGAAAACTGCTGCAGTCTCAGGCTCTCTGCTTGGGCTGCCAAATCTGAGACAGATATTGGAGAACATGAGACAAGGCAGGCAAGTTGAGAGAAGAAGGAGGAGGACCTCCTTCCATAACATGGGCAGTAAGTTTGAATTTGAAGGTATCTTGCTGTTAAAATCATTGGGGCAGAAAACAAAGGAAAAGCTTGGTACCTCCTTTAGCCTTAAAATCTACATCAAAATTGAATTTATGTCTAGTTTTCCTTGTAGTCCTTTGCAGACTTACTTCAGGAATTAAAAGCACAAACAGGTATTAAGGGATGCTTATTGTATTTAACACAAAAAAGACAAAGATGAACCATGAACAAAAGGAGGAAAGGTGGCTGAAATATGTCACATTTTTTCTTATTGCCAGCAGTTTTCCTGCCTGGAGCTGGAAGGAGTTGCTGGTTATTTGGAGGGCAAGCACACAGCAGGGTGGTTAGGTTTGAGCTGAAGGCACTGAGAGTGGATGGTTGTATTGAGCATCATATTCCAACAGGCTGGTGGGAGCACAGGGCTCACCCAGCTCCCAGTAGGTTTTCCAACTGAAGCAGGTTTCCAAAAGAAAGTCACATCTTTGACAAAAGTTCAGTGCCTTCCTCCAGGATAAGGACACATTAGGTCCCTTCAAAAAGGCTCCCAGGTTTATTTTGCACGGTTTTCCCTGGCTGGCTGCTCCCAGAAATAAATGTGCAGCTCTGGCTGACATTAAAAGGGAAAAAAAAAAACAAACACACCATAGAACACCACAAAATTCTGCCTGAGGCAGACACCTGGCATGGAAAATTTTGTGTCAAATCATTACAAGTATAAGTTTTAACTAACTGAAAATAGGGTTTGCAGTAGGAAGTGTCAGGCCTTCTTAATATTGATGTAACACACATACATTCAACATTTTAAATTATATAATATGCTTAATATTAATAGCATAACAATTTCAATTCAGTGGACAATGCTGAATGCTACCAGTATGAACTATCAAAGCACCTGGGGACCAATTGTTTGAAGTCAGTCATAAACAATTTCTTCATTTAACCAGCCAAAATAAGACAGCTGGGCACTAAGTATTACTATTAAGACCTTTCAGCTGAAATGAAGTCAGAGCTTTTGTGCTTTGAATGAACATTAAAGATCCAAAGGTGGTGGATACCATGGGGCTCTGCCTCGCTTATGCTGATTGATCTTGCTTTCCTCTCCTGTAGATATTACAGTGTTTTGTGAATTCCTAAAACCTGCACCTTTTTTTGAGTTGGGTTCTTGCCTTGGCAAGATTCTTTATTATTCTTTCCATTTTTTTTTTTTTTAACAGTAAAGATGTAAGTTTTCATCCCTTTAAAGGGCAGATCTACTTCAGAAGAAGAGAAAGAGAAAAAAATACCACAAAGAAAGAAAAATGAACCAAACTCATGACTTGTGAGGTTTTGAGACACCATTTATGACTATGAGAAAGTGGCAACACGGGATTGCTGCCTGCTCACCAAAAATACTGTAGCATTTTGGTATTTGAGTCAGATGGTCTTTAGGATCTTTTCTGACAAAGCACCTTATACAAAGCTGTACAAAAATAAATTACACTGGAGGGACTTCCAAATGGCAAGAAAAAAGTGTCACCTGCAACTGTTATCAATGTTGAAGAAAACAAGTAATATAACAGTCAGGTCGGTGCAAAATCCCCAATGAGAACTTACAAATAGCGTTTTTCTGACCTTTTCAAATTTAAATCATTCATTACTGCTAACATTTTAAAATAAGCCATGCTTTTCTTTTCCCTTTGTAGGAACACT